ATAGTTGTTGATGTCGTGGTACATGGAAGGAATTAAGGTTGTTAACTTATGACCGCCATGACTCTCATTATCAACTAGATCAATTAAGACACTTATGATAACCAACTAAAGATAACAAACTTAACAACTTATGCGCGCCTTATGATTTCCTATAAGCAACAACACGGGTATTCATAACGATCAAGTGGGAGACTGAAGATAACTTTTAGTGCAAGAGAGTTATCTCATCCTTAATATGATCTATTTATGAGACCCATGAGTTATGAAAGGAATAGGAGTGTTACATTTGATTCAATTGGTTATAAGAATAAGGAGTTATCAAAGATTAATAACTCCAAAGAATTATGTTCCTATTGTAACTCTTCCATGATGGATGGTTGAGATGAAGTGTAAAGATAAAACTTAATAGGAATTTTGGTCCTCTCTCCACCTATAAATTGTATGCTTTGGACCATCACAATAGCATATCATAAGAAACACATATATCAAGTGACTTATAGGCTAGGAGAGAGTATCCCAAAATTCAACATTGCTACTTCTTCATAAGCTCTCTCAATCACCATGGAAGGAGGCATTCTTCTAATCTCTTTTCTATTTCATGTGATTATCATGTTGTTCTATCGATCTTAGGGTTTCATGTAAATTCAAGGTTTACAACTCATTCTTTTTGCTTTCGTTTGGTCGTTTGGATGCTTGACGAGATGTAAATGGAACCATTCTAATGTCTTTCTTTCGTGTTCTTAAAGAAAGCAATCAAGTCGTCACGAAATATTTTATTTAATAATAGTTGTTATCTAGTCTTTACTTCAATAATTCATCATATCCAAACCCAAAAAATGTCACTGAACTGAAAATTAAATGACATATTGTATACTATGCTAATCATGAAAACGAACAGATAGTGAGTGAGCACTAGTCCACTACTGTTATTCTGTTAACGACATTGTATCCATCTTCTTCACTGCAATTATGGAGAAATTAACTTTTTTCCCGCTGCCATTTTCCTTGCAGAATAACACTTGCCAAGAAGATAAAATCTTTACAAATATGAACCCAAGTAAGTAATAACCAAAGTGCATGAATAAACTAAACTTAATGAAGTCATGTTAGCTGGTGAGGGTGTGTGTTGCTTGATCTTGCTACGCTGCTCACATGCCAATCTATGATAACGTTCTCACTCGTAGTCGCAGGGGTGTGCGATTGTTTGTGTTGAATGCTCTGTAAACGTTCGATCTATGCAGTAATAATTTTGTAAATAAAATGACATTGTGTCAATCTTACGGTTGCGGAGTGCCCAACGCACAATCTGAAGGATACATACCCTCTTTGTAAACACCTGCGGTGTGCAACGGTGCATTCCTCACAAAACCAAATCGATATTTGAATCGGACCATATCAAACCGAATATATGCAATCCAGTTCTTTTCTCCATAAGAACCAGACCGAATGTAATATGGTCTGATCGTTGAGTTCTACAATTTCTCTTCCTATTGAATCGCAATTCACATGGTCTGCTTTGATTTGTATTTAGCAATAGACCGAATCATTGCATATCCATATGATAATTAACCATGTGTTATAATTTATAAAGGGCTGGAAAATTGGCTATAAGGGGACTAATTAACCCATAGGTCATATTGAAAAACAAATCTACGGGTGCGCAATGGGACGGGACTAGGTACCCGTCCCGTTTGAAATGGGTACCCAATCCCATTTGGAGAGTAAACTCCATCTCATGTCACAAACCCGTACGGGTTAATAGGTACCCATTACCCGTATGGAACGGATAACGGGTACCCGCGGGTACCCACCAAATCAACAATCTTGTGATTGAAAAATTGATAGGTATTCACTTCTAATTTATATTATATCTTGGACTTTTATGGTTGTGATTCTATTTACACTGGTTTCGCTTTGAAACATATTCATTGACAGAGTGCTCAACTGGGTGATCCCTCTGCTTTCCCCTTTGCTTGGCTTGCCTTTGCTCTGCTAGCTGCAACATCGCGTTGAATGAAATCAACATGTATTTATTGTTAATGGCCAGTTGGCCACACACCATGAAAAGATTGTTTTTCTTTGTTTTGGGTTTTAGTACACGAGGCAGCAGCTTGTTGATTAATGAGGAAGGGAGAAATGAGATGGGGACGGGTAATTTGAGACGACGTCTTTTAGCAAAGGGCTGGGTTTATTATGGGATTCGTCAAATGATACATGGGTTACTATATATGGTGGATAGTACGGGTACTCGTAATATCCAAACGGGTATTAACGGGTTACCCGTGGGGTACTATTTTGGAACTTCTTGATTCAAAGTTCCATCACGTAAAAAAAATTCCGTAATCTTTAAAAAACGGGATGGGTATACCCAAATACCCGTTTCCCATTGTCCACCCCTAAACAAATCAACCTTGTCCTACTTTCCGTCCTAGTTCTCTGCATTAAAATGGAATGGATAATCAATCAAGTCTCAATCCACAATAGAATCCATATTATTGAATATGGAAAGTGGGTTTTACCTATATAGCCCCTTTGCCGGTGCTATGTAGAAATGTAGCAGAAATGAAATAATCCTTTCCCAAATCACCAAAAAACAAAAGAAAAAGAAAAGCTATGTGAAGGGCACATGCATATCAGATGATGAGAATTTGAGAGCCTCTTCTCCATAATAATCCTCTCTTTCTTCGGGCCAGTGATCTGTAAAATGCTTCTTTGTGTTTTCTGCATCCTTCAATTGATCCGGTGCAGTCCGGTACGGTTAAATTGACCCAAATTGATCTGGTCCAGTCCGGTCTTTTTGAAAATATAAGGACCAAAGATTGGATTGGATACAGTCATTTCTTGACCCGGCTAGTCCCAATTCGGTCTTGATTTTATACTGAGCTTGTGGGGATTTGAGTGGCCTAAGGCCTGAAAGGGTGAGAAGTTGGTTAAGTTTTGGACTAAGTGCAATGGTTTGTGACCATTTATGCAAATTACCCTTAAGTTTTGGGTGTTGAGTTCTCTTATCCGGTCTTTATCCAATTTTCTATCCGCTCCCGAACGGTTTTTTTATCTCAAATCTAAGCCCAAAATTGGATTAGATTGTTTACTATCCGGTCCGGTTTCAGGTAAAACTTAAAAACCTAGACCAAATAGCCAGCCCTAGATTTGACATAAAATTAGATGGACCACTTCGAGTTAATTGGTTTACTATTTTAATTAAAAAATATTTTAACGCTTACTAAGACCAACTAACCTCAACTATTAATTTTATTTATGCTTTTTTCCCCAGCCTCCTCATCCACTTTATGTGGCCACTAAAGTGTGGCCACTACAGATTACCCCATGATTACTAACTTGAATTTATTAAAAACAATTATGATTCTTTTGTGAGATTGTTTGAATGATTTGTTAGAACTTTTGGTGATGGATGATAAGCATTTGAAATTGTTTACAATCAGTATTAATTCCTAAATTACTGTATTATATATGTCTATGTTATAGCGCATGAACATGTCTATCAAATTAATGAACAGGTTTATAACAATTAATCGTTGCACCATAAACCACTAATTTCTTCAATTCAATTTTTGATTTGGTTATGAAAACTGGCCTTACTTTTCAAATCCAATAAGCAAATTACATATTGGAGTTCAACAATGAGATCTTCTTGCTTTTGCTCATTCCCACCAGTCTTCAGTTCGGATTGCAGGCTGCAACTCGGGGCTTTATCACTTGAGTGGATAGGCAAATGGTTTGGGAACCGTTGTCATTTCCTATATGATAAATAATTATTGTCAAAATACACTTCGATAGCCACAACTTTCACGTTTGTGACAGTTATAACCACAACTTATGAAATACACGAAATAACCATAATTTTTATGGTTGTTTAACAAATCTATCCATTTTCGTTACAAACTTTAACGGTGTTAGAGATTTCATCAGTTAGGTTAACGACATGCTAGCTAGGATACCAAATTAACGCACACGTTAGCTACAACTCACCCTCACTTGCCATGTAGATGCCACGTCATTTACTTTAAAAATATTTTAGGCAAAATACACTTCCATAGTTAAACTTTCACGTTTGTGTCAGTTTAAGCCACAACTTTCACGTTTGTGACAATTTAAGCCACAACTTTCGAAATATACGAAATAGGCAGAATTTTGATGGTCGTTTGACAAATCTAGCCATTTCGGTTACAAACTTTCGAAATACACAAAGCAATTGTGACCCTATCCTCGATTTCTTCTCAGAATTCTGTTTGAGAGGGAAGGCGACGAATCAGGCCAATTGACTACGATGAATCAGCCTTCACCGAAAACAAGAATAACCGCAGTTGCGACGGTTTCGAGGAATTAGAGGGGGAAATGCACTACAAGCCGCCACATACTTTCTTCCTGACCCATTATCCTCTGTCGCCACTGGAGTCACCGTCTCCTCTTTCACCACTACCACCGATGCCTTCTTCTTTGCGGCTGTCGTCGAGCTTCTTCCCAGCAACCTTCTTATCCTTTTTCTCGCCTTTTTTCTACGACTCCACCAAACTTCTAAGGCCTTCTTCTTCAATCTCGCAATTGGGGATCTGAATCGGCGATTTGAGAAATAAGGCATTCTTCTCCAGTCATACTATTAAGTGACACCATTAAACGGAGGAATGGAAGTGGCTATTTCGTGTATTTTGAAAGTTGTGCCTATAACTGTCACAAACGTCAAAATTGTAGCTATGGAAGTGCATTTTGTTTTTCTATTATAAATTCACGTGGATTGGTGGGGAAGAAATATAGTCAACTCAGCATGTCCATCAATCCAGTCCAGCATACTGTTAAGTGACACCGTTTAAGAGATGCACTGAAATAACTATTTTATTTATTTCGAAAGTTGTTCCTATCATAAACGTGAAAATGAGTAAGTTTTTGTATTTTACCTTAGTTATTTGTTTACCGTTTCAAGGTGAGATTATCCATAATATAATTTTCTCAACCTCACTATTTTCCTCCCTCGTTCCTCTCCGCCACAAAGAAAGCCTCTTCCCTTTTTTCCTTTCTTCAACTTCGACTCTAAGCTTTACACATATCGTGTTGTTCATCATCACTAGTCACTACTGGCTGGATATTATTTTGCTCCCATCTCACACCTTCCTCCCTTTCTTTGTTCTCCGAGATCTAAAAGCTCTCAGCTTTTGTATCCTTCTCACTTGGAACTCTTAAATCATCGATACTTACACTGCATAGGTAGTAGCGATAGTCGCCGCTTCTGTTTCCCCTAAAAAGCTTTTTAGTTCTGCCGTTGCTTCTCTTCGTATACCCACTTCTAACTTGATCTATTAATCGATTGGATTCTCTCATTCTACTCGCCATTTGTTTCCTTCTTCAATTGGCCGCAAGCTCTTGTGCCCTTGTTTACTTACTCTCTTTCGTCTCTTCTGTCTTGTTCCTTCTGTTGTTTCGGTGCCAGATATTCAGGGGTGAGTTGCCCTTTTCCCGATTCGGGAACTTGTTGGGATTACCTAATTTCTTTTCCGAGCGGAATTGATTTCCCTGATCTTGCTTTGCTAGTTGGATTCGATTTGGCTTCTAAGGAAGTTCTAGGCTTTGTTTTGCTGGGATTCCATTTCAGATTTTGCTGGGTGGTGGCTGATCTGGTGCCTAAGTCTAATCCTGTGAAGTTTTGGCTATCTGGGTTCTTCTTCTCTACTGATCAAATTGCACTCAGAGAGCTTTCAGTACCTCTGTAAGACACTGCGGTTTGTGGGTGGAGGCAGACTCTCGCTTGATACAGAATTTTGGGGAAGATTAATGCGTTGTTGGTGTTGAGATGCAGCCTGATCAGCGAAAGAAGGTAAAAATGTGCTGTTATGCTTATTGGTCATGATGTGGTGTCATGTAGTTCGTTGAAGCGAAGATCAAAAGTCTAGTCATAGACATGAACTATGAACTGGGACCTGTAATCTGCTTGTCTAACACTACAGTGGATTTTGGGATGTTATATTCTTAACTTGGATGTCTTTGTATCTCTGGATGTGGTAACTGCACACCTGGATTTTGAATCAACACCTTTTCATGTTTATCCCTTTGACACATGGTTTGTCTCCCTATTGCCGGGTTATTGCTGGCCCACTGTCGTATTAACTATATAATAACGGGGTTTGCTGATCAACTGCCTATGTTTTGGATGAATTGTTATGTGAAACAGCCCGTTGATAAAATGATAAGCTAGTTACCATCGTAGATTCATATTGGTACTTGACTACTGTGTATCAGAGTTTAGTTTGGGTTTGATGTAGAACTGAAATCTGGATCGAGTATCTGTGACTGTTTCAGCTTGTCTATGGCAGTAACCATTAGGTAGTTGCTATCATAAAGCTAGTCCATGTTATTGGAAGTTAACTTAAAGCCGGCTGACATGAGAAGAGAAACCAGCTATGGTTAGACTGACAACTCTAGCAATGTGAGATTGTCTCTAATAAAATGCAGGCCAAGTCTCTTTTTATGTGCTGGGTGTTTGCACATGCCTCTGCAGAATTCTGGTTTTGTCAAATATCAATAGAATAGTGCTGGTCCATTCAGCAATATGTTCCATCTAAGTGTGTTCTTCTTCTCCTGTGTCTTGACACATTTCTGAATTTTTGCTGCAGTCTGTTGATGTTGACTTTTTCACCGAGTATGGTGAGGGTAGCAGGTATAAAATAGAGGAAGTTATTGGCAAAGGAAGTTATGGTGTTGTTTGCTCGGCATATGATACACATACAGGAGAGAAAGTTGCAATTAAGAAAATCAATGACATCTTTGAACATGTCTCTGATGCCACTCGCATCCTTCGAGAAATTAAACTTCTTAGGCTTCTACGTCATCCAGATATTGTGGAGATCAAGCACATCTTGTTGCCCCCTTCCAGAAGGGAGTTTAAGGACATCTATGTAGTTTTTGAGTTGATGGAATCTGATCTACACCAAGTTATCAAAGCAAATGATGATCTAACACCTGAGCACTATCAGTTCTTTCTTTATCAGCTTCTCCGAGGCCTGAAATACATACACACTGGTGAGGGGCTTGATAGAATACCTTGAGTCAGTAAAAGCTGTGAACTTATACTCTTTCTTGCAAGTGCTTGTGGTTCATGCCTGTATTGATTCTTCTTTCTACCAGCAAATGTGTTTCACAGGGATCTAAAACCCAAAAACATCTTAGCCAATGCTGACTGTAAATTAAAGATTTGTGACTTCGGCCTTGCAAGAGTTGCCTTCAATGACACTCCCACAGCAATTTTCTGGACAGTAAGTTCCAATCTTTGATGAATTTACACGCAGAGGAACTCCGAGGAATAATGTAGACCATTATCAATTTTCTATCTATGTAAATCTAATTGTTTCTGTTGTTGCTCTGTCCCAGGATTATGTTGCGACGAGATGGTATAGAGCTCCAGAATTGTGTGGGTCATTTTTCTCCAAGGTGCCTTGTTACTGCTTTAAAGCTTGTCTTTGATATCTGTTTTTTTTTTCTTTTCGGTTCACACTTTGTCACACTAAATACTGCTTCTTCCCTGGTCCTTTAGCCTGTCTGAAATGTGTCTTATGTGCTTCACTTCCTTCATAGAATTGCTAGAAATGTTTACATAGAGTCAATTACAGACCTCTTGTGAGTATTCATTTTAATTAAACAGTCAGATTCCGCTTGTGAGTATTCATTTTCTATTTGCTATTCTGTGTATATATGCAGTACACACCTGCAATAGACATATGGAGCATTGGATGCATCTTTTCTGAACTTTTGACCGGGAAACCTCTTTTCCCTGGGAAAAATGTAGTTCATCAGTTGGATCTGATGACTGATCTTTTGGGAACACCATCTTCTGAAGCAATTGCGAGGGTATTTTCCTCTCATCATCATGTATTCCGTTGTCTGCATTAATTTAAGGTGCTTATGCTAAAATGAAAGCATCATTATCATTTACAGGTTCGTAACGAGAAAGCTCGTAGATACCTTAGTAGCATGCGGAAGAAGAAGCCGATTCCTTTTACTCACAAATTCCCTCATGCAGACCCTCTTGCACTTAGGTTATTAGAAAAAATGCTAGCATTTGAACCCAAAGACCGGCCTACCGCTGAAGAGGTGAGCTTCTCTATTTACTCATCTTGTCACTTAGAGAATAAATGAATTCCCCTCTCAAGAGATTTATAATTATGCATAATTTTCATTTTACAAGGCCCTTGCTGATCCGTATTTCAAAGGTTTGGCCAAAGTTGAGAGAGAGCCTTCCGCTCAACCTGTCACCAAAATGGAATTTGAATTTGAGAGGCGAAGAATAACAAAAGAAGATGTAAGGGAGCTCATTTACCGAGAAACACTCGAGTACCATCCAAAAATGTTGAAAGAATTCTTGGAAGGTTCAGAACCAACTGGCTTCATGTACCCAAGTGCTGTTGACCATTTCAAGAAGCAATTTGCTTATCTTGAGGAGCATTATGGAAATGGTGGGCCTGCTGCTACTCCGCCAGAGAGAACTCATGCGTCATTGCCAAGGTATGCTTAGTATTTTTTTTCTTTTTCTTTTTCATGCTGCCATCCTGGAGATTATATTCACTGTGTTCAGTATGATGTTGCATGCAGGGCCTGTGTATTATATTCAGATAAGAATCCTATGCTGAGCTCAGCACAAGTAGCAAATGATCTTTCCAAATGTTCTATCAAAGATATCGAGAAGCCACACAAGGACAAGAGTGGTGGACCTGGTGGTATCCCGATGACAAGGCTTCCCATTCAAGTCCCTCAAAGTATTCAAGGTAACCCACGCTCATCTTCCTTTCTTCAAACCCCATCTGAAAAAGTGGTTTGGTTACATACTAAGCTCTCCTAACACCAAGCATTTCAGTGGTTTGCATTAGAGTTCCTTTAATTATGATTAGATTTGTGTGACTAAGAATTTGAATGACATATCTCTACAGCGGGCCCTGCTCGTCCTGGGAAAGTTGTTGGCTCTGTACTGCGATACAACAACTGTGCCACAGCAGCCGATACAGTTGTTGACCAGCGAAGAATGGTCAGAAACCCTTCTACCACATCTCAATACACCTCTTCGAATGGTTCATATCCAAGAAGAAACCCGGGCTGCAAGAATGACAGGGGAGAAGACGATGGAATTGAAGGGTCCAATGGATTGCAGCCAAAACCACAGTACATGGCAAGGAAAGTTGCTGCTGCTCAAGGTGGACCGGGAAGTCAATGGTATTGATGATGGTTATACACCCCAGTAGGCACACTTTGTCTTCCATCTCTCCACTCTTGTGGATGGTCATCACCATCATCCCTTGATGGAGGTGCTATGAACTAGACTCACCTGCTTCGGGTACTCTATCATGCAATGGATTTCGTCGGTGCTAAAGGTGATTCGAAAGATTGTGGCCGAGGAACTTTCTTGGCTTGGGAGGATGATGTGGAGCGGAGAATGGAACAGGTTGTAATTTATTTCTCTAACTGAGGTTAAAAGAGCTGAAATAGTCAGGTTCTTGGTCCGTTAGCATACCGGTGTGTTGCCATGTCTGATTTAGCTCAGTATTGAGTCCACGTGAAAGGAGTCTGATGTTCGTAAATGGGAGTCGGGTAGTGTTGGTTGGTTGCTTACCAGATTCTCTGCACCTCTTCTTGTTCTTTCCTATGTAGAAGTTTTCCTACCCTTATTTTGTTCACCCCAAATTATTCGTTTTTCGCTACTTGTACACTTCTCCTATCTATGTATCTCTGTCAAATAAAGATTCTGGGTTCAGTACTTGTGATATTCCATGGCAATGTATCTACATACGGACTACCTAGTTGTTACAATTTGTGCTCACTTATTGTTTCATGCAAGCATTGCATCCTATGATCAACTGTTTACTATTTTTGCCTCACAATTTCCTGCCGTGACGCGATTGTATCCTATGATCAATCGTTGATTGATTGGAAGGTACTGTTTGTGCAATCACAGGAAAAGATACTAACTACTTACAGTGTCATTTGCATTACATCAAACTACATTACAAGCAAATCTGGCATTGAAGCAGTATCTGTCTGACTATCTTGGTGTTGCATTTCAAGGCAACTGTAATTGGCTACTGCAGGTTAAACTGAGCTTGGTACCTAACTTATCCACTCAGAACAGTCAAAAGCTTCCATGAATTGAATTGTTTATTCCACAAGCAATACAAACACAATGTATACACCCAGATGTCTGCTCCAGCCTAATTGAAGTGTATCAATAGCAGAAATGTTAAAAACTTACATCACAAGCAGAAATGTTAAAACTTCACAAATTTGAAGATACTATTCAATGTTAGTGAATACACTACACAAACAAATGAAACCCCCGATCTACTACTGACTCTTGTTTTCCCTTACATTCTTTTCACTATGCAACACCTACAATGGTCGGTACAGTTTGCAAAACTGTGCAAAGCCCTAACAAGATCTTCATCGCAATTTCATTTTCTCACTTACACCTACAAATCAATGGATCCTTTGCTTCACCCTTCTACCGTTCATATCACCGTCCAAGCTTTCGATCCCAAGAACAGAAGCAGCAACTGCAGAATGCTCACTAACTCTGGCAACATACTGCAACAGTTCTGTGATGACTGTAGGGCAACTTTGCTTCAGGTACTCGAATCCATCAGTTTGCATGACAGCTGCATAAAATTCACCCATGCTTATCATGAGTCTCAGTGGCAAAAGTTGAGAATTATATGTTCATCACAAGAGCACTTCTAAGAGCCCTTATACTAAAGGAGACAAAAATATGCCCTGCGGATGAATACGGAGGAAAGAAAATTCTAAGTATATAAAGGGGCCAGCATTGTTCGTGCAAACTGCATTGTTGCATGTAGTGCTGGAAAGAAAGATTTAAGCAACACGAAAGGGAGGTACAAGGTAGGCTAACCTTTCAGATTTTCAGGCAATGCAATGAATTTGAGGCAGACAGCTTTTAATTGGAGACACTGATGTTGCTCAGCCAAAGCTAGTGTTGTTGCAACTGTATTTATTGCGACATCCTCACATAGTTTTGCTTCGCAGAGTAGTCTGAGTCTCTCTAATGCATAACGGTCAGCTGCCGCAAGTAGATGCTGTGCCATTAATGTGGCAGCCCATTTGGGGTTCACTACACCAACAAGGTCTTCCATGTCAGGCAGGGCATCCCAATAGATGAAGTGTAGTAGAGCCTGCAGACATTCCAACACAAAGTGAGGAACAAATTACATTTTAGAACTGTTCAATCTCGATCTAACTGTACGAAAAAAGTAACATAGCAATTCAGTGTTAATCAATATCCATAATTGAGATAAAAGGAAAGAAGCAAAGCCCAGTTTCCCCAGACAGCCAAGACAGGAAACTGCAGTTCAGCACTTCAGAATCTGAGTTTTGAAAATATTCTGCTGCATCCTTGGCTTCAGATCTATTTCCTCATAAGCTGAAAGGAAGAGTTTTCACAACCGACCGAGACACAAGATATCTCTGCCACCCCATTACATGTACACAAAAAGCAGGGGTGAACAAAATGAAGCTCCTGGGGGCAGCACCAAGGAAAAGTTCCTTCCAATGCCCCAAGCTAGATGAAGCTCTTCACAATAACTGCCCAACCACAGATAATGCTGCCAAGCTTAAGTAGTTATGGACAAGTACCAATTGTAGCAGCATCTATCACGAGGAGAAACCAAGAAGTAGAGCTTAGCTGGAGTAATAATTGTGCACAGGAGGAGCACCATAATGGATGAAAGCAACAAGTATATTTGAGTATGGCATCACAATCATCCTGTATGGCACCATAATTACTCACCCAATACAGGTAACCAACCTACAAAGGCTCCCTCTTTCCATGTATCGTATAACAAAGTCCAATTTACCAATGAACAAATCATCATTTGTTGCAAAAGCATTGATACTCAGCTAAGTGCTAAAAACCACAAACTATTCAGATCAACCACAGAAACAAAGCTACTTGGAAGGCGAGCCAAGCAAGTCATTACCAAGCAGGATATCACAAAATACAAACTAGTGTGGGTTCTGATAATAGTAGAATAGTTTGTGGCTGAAGATATGGTGTTTTCAGCTCTTCTCCAGGTTTCTTATGTGCGGAAGTTATTAAAAGAAGACAGCTTAAATAAGCAAATTACCGTATATAGAGAAGCACCAGAAATACAAACCAGAATCATCCACTCAAATGCAACTGAAGAAAATAAGAGAAGGGCAAACAAGCCTAGCAAAAAGGACTGTCAATGATGTTCTGTAATCAGATAAGCTACCTATTAACAATATCGCGTTGCCTGCTGGTCTTTATAAAAAAAACAATCGCATTGGTTGGGAAATGGGAACCACTATCAGTTAAAGAATTTTAAAATGCCAACTTAAGTACGGACATGTTTGTGAAAACAACAAAAGCGAGAAACTGGTATAGAGAAAGGAGAAAGAGAAATTGAGAGAAAGAACCTTAAAGACTGGGGCTTCTACATCTTCAACTTTCAAGGACCTAGTGTTTTGATCCTTCATTGGACCAAAAAGCTGTGCCCTGAATACTGGAGAGCGTGCAGCAAGAACAAGCTTGTGTGCAGAAAACATTTCACCATCAACTTCAAAATTTACATCGGACCCCTTCCCACTTTCCAAGAGCATTCCAAACTGAAGACCAATGTCAGAAGGTGGCACAGGAATTGAATAGGTCCGAGGTCCCTCTGTCTGCGACTTAACAACACCAACACAGCAACGGATCACAAGTTTATCGTCCTTCAGGTAATCTGAAGTCTCCAGTTGAGTTCGTTTGAAAAACCGCTTATAACCCCTGCAACAACCAAAACATAAGCACCAGGCCTCAAGCATCACCCATCATGCCCATCAGTATACAATTGAAAAATTTAAGTCTAATAGTGAATGCTTAAATAAATAGCTTTCAAGGACTCCATCACACGTCTAGTGCCACTGGTTCTACCAGATTGACAATCTTGGCAACATTGCATCAATTTCCAATATCAAGCAAAGATACCTAATTTCAGGTGAGTGTGAAAACTTAATCAATGATTCATGTGAGCTTCTGCTACAATAAACCGCTTTCCTTGCTTTAATATGCTTGACTCCCAAGCAGAGAGTTTTTCTTCAATTCATCACGAGTCTAAAAGAAGTACTCAAGTTAACTACATTACCAAACCCAAACCTAATAATAAGCAACTGCCTACAAATCATCTTATATCCGGTTACCTCCTCCTTAAAAGACATTTATTTACAGTTAGACACATTCATCTCCCGAAATGATAATCACTAGTGCTGCAATATGTGTCTCATCTTTATTCAAAGATAACGAATTTTCATTTGACTTCAACATGTCGTATGAGCCATAACTCTGCTACTATAAACCTCTAAACTTGTTTTAAGATAGCAAACTCCCAAGTGCTGAAGTGTTCTCAAACTCGTCAAGAGTTTAAATGAAGTAAACAATTTGACAATCCAACCTTACCATAACCAATAGGCAACAAATCACATTCACTGATTACCCCTCCAACAAAGACATTAGCTTTACCGAGGGATGGGGCAATCATCTCAAAATACTCGGTCATAGCGTAATCGAAAAGCCGTGAACAAGGATAAAGCAAATTGCACAGCCAGATATAAGCACTCACCACATACTCCCTCTATATTTAAGGGTATAAGGACCTGTCTCCAGGTTTCTACCAAAATGGCTATGAACCTTATGCCGTGCTTTCCCACTCTGATCCATCAGCGTCAGCTCGAACAACGCCCTCACATCCGTCCCCTCGCTGGCCAGCGCAATGAACAAAGACACGTAATTCCCGTTATCCTCGGGACTCTTCCCGTCGGGATAAAAGTAGATCGCCCAAGCGTAACCCCCGACGAAGAACGTCTCGGAAGCTATGTACTTGCCGACGCCCATCCCCTTGGACAGCGAGTAGCCACTGATGTCGAACTCGTGGGAGCCATTGATGGTCTCGTTCCTCGAGGTGGAGGTCGTCACCGAGAGCGGGGATTGCGACGTCGACGAGCTCGGCTTGTTCGCGAGATCACTGTCGCGAACCCTAATTGCGTCCATCAACCGGTAGAGAAATGGAAATACGGGTGAATCCGATTACCCCCAGCAGCTTTACCCGGGAGAATTGTCGAGGGAATTCGACGAATTCGTGCGGCGGTCGCGACTCAGCGCGGAGAAGTCCCGGGCGCAAGTCGGGGCGAAATCGGGGTTTTGGAAAGGGGAAAAAAGAGGGAAATTGATAATTGGAGGGGTCGGTAGGGTAGGAAACAGAAGATTGGGAGGTAGATCTAAGTTGCCGACGGAAATCGGCGGCGGAGGAAGGCGGTGATCGGAAGAAGAAGGTGGGCGATGACCTTTTTCTTCTGGTGGGCGAGATGAAAAAAACGTGACAGATTATTATCGAAATGGAGAAGGAAGCCATTACTGATGAAATGAAGTCCTTTATATACGTCACATTCTGTTCTCTCTTCTGTCAAACAAACCTATTCTCCTTCATTTTTTCCGTTACCTTTTCGCCGGTAAAAAAGAAGGGATCGTTTTGTTGTCTTTTGGGCCCCCTCCACTTTGCTTTACTTTCCGTTAAACCATTTCTTATGATTCGTTAGTCACTCACTGATTAGTCTGATACGGTTGCATATTCGATTTAATTGTACTATTTATAGATTGGCCGGAGGTTTATGGGTCGGGGTTTGTTATTGTTGATGGAATTTTCTCATAAAAAAAAAACTCTATTCCGATTAACTTGCTACACTATTTCTATTAATTTGATGTCTCACAAGTTTACAATGTCTGATTCAACAAATTCGTTGAGTTGAATGAAGAAGGATTATGTATAAATGAGATTAAGTGAGTTGTTTGAAGGATCTATCTAGTCCCGCTACTAAGGTATCATGTTACTTCATACAGAGACTTTGTATGCTACGGGTCTTCAGACCCGTAAGGCTTTGTAGATGAGTTTATGAGCTGTGTTTCATGGGAGCAGATCCGGTGGCGGTGAGTAACCTTGTGGTGAGTAATTCAATGCATAACCCAATAAGAATCTGCCTCATCAGCGCCTCTTTCTCTCTTTTAGAAAAATCATTAATTTTTTTTCCCTTAATCTTTAACGGACGATTTCTCACTCGTTTTAACTCGGAATTTAATTTTTTTGCACAGATAGATCAGATTAATTGTGTTCTTCAAAATGATATCCACTTTGATATTTTTTTGAACAAAAAAAATTTGCCAGTTATTACCATATGGTATAGTCAATACCATATGGTATTGACTGGTATTAAATAACAGCATATGGTATGGAGTTGGTAACGAGAGGTTTGTAATTTTTCATACCATATGGTATGCTGTTATTTAATACCAGTCAATACCATATGGTATTAAATAACAGCATACCATATGGTATGAAAAATACCACCTCATACCAGGGTGGTATAGTATGGTACGGAGTTGGTAACGAGAGGTTTGAAATTTTTTCCCCCAGAAAATTTTGAAATCCAATAGATCGTGATTAAATCGCTCTTTTTGTGCAAAAATTTCCGAAAATGACTAAACAACGAAGGAGATACCATATGGTATGGAGTTGTTAACGAGAGGGATGAAAAAAAAAATTCTCAAAAAATATTGAAAATGGATATCATTTTGTAGAGCACAACGAACTCGTTCCATCTGTGCAAAAAAAATTGAAATCCGAGTTAGAATGAAGAAGATATGATCCAATTAAGAAAACTAGGGAAAATAGGTCTTTTAATTCTCCACCCTTAGATCTGCAGTCACTTAAAAGAAGGGTCCAGATTTGGTTACTCATTGTTATTCACCCTAAGGTTACTCACCCTATCTTGAGCCGTGTTTCATGGTCTTTATTCCATGTGCTTTGGGACGACATGGAAACATAAGCTTTCGAAGGGTCGTTTGGATGGATCATTGTCAAAACGAGACAATTGGGAACAAAAGACTCATTTTAGAAAATGAGTCAATTGGTTAAGGAAATTTGATCAGAATGTTTCGTTTGGAATTGGTTGCAAAGATGAGGAAATGTGGGTTAGTCATTTTGGGTAAATACTAATTTGCCTCTGTCTTGTGCAAATTTCTCACCCCAGTTTTGTTTCAAGTTGCTCGTCTCTTTTTCTGGGTTCTTTTTCCTGGTTGATCTCAGGCAACCCCCACGGTTTCACCATCTACAAATTTCCACAAGATAGGAGATTACAGAAATGTCGTAAGAAAGCAATTGCTTTGGTGGTACTGGTATGGATGGTAATTGGAGGCAGATTCATAGGGGTAGTAACAGAGTATGGGTGGGGATAGCCTGTTGCAGTTAGGCGGGGGATAGAGAAAGAGAACTGTATCTGAAGCTCTGAAGCTTTGTCGCCGCTTCCGACCTAGCTGTATGTTTAGAGGAAAGAGGAAGCGGTAGAAAGCACCTTTAACCAGCTTCTTTGATTTCGTTCCTTTCCCCGCCTTTTTTCTACTTTGTGGAGCAATCGAAGTGAGGAATGTGTGTGAAAGAATTGGGAGAAGGGGAGGCGAGGCAGCAGTGGTGGTGAATCGAGGTCAAGCAATGAACCCAAGCTCTCTTCCCTCATCACAAGAGCCAAGAAGGTTGCTGGAGAGTGCCCACCTTCTTCCCTCTATTTTCCATTAAAATTGTCCAAAGAAAAAGGAGAAAAGGATGTTGGAGGAAGCTGTGTCTGCTGGCATCGATAAAATGGGAAGGTTGACTGAAGGACACAGAGCAAGAACCAAAAGAAGAAAGCAGTAATGAGGCGGGAAATCAGGCAAGAGACTGATCCTATAGGATCTGAAGGCAACGGTTGAAAAAGAAGATTATATAGGAACCAAGTCTGATTAGTGATAGATACCTTTCGAAAAGCAAAACTTTCAAATAGCAGGAACAGGGGTTTGGCTGTGTGAAATTGAAAGAAACGAGAGGTGGCTATCTGGGAGATAGGGTTAGTCAAGGGCAATTGGAATTCCGGCGGGGAGCTGAATTCCGATTGGAAGTTCTGATCAAGTAACAGGGAGTTACTCAGAGATCGATTGTAATCTGTAATCCGAAACACAATATCTTAGTAACGTCAAAGGACTCAAAACAGAGTGCCTTTGACCGTGGACTAGTCGATACTGATTTATCAGTATCGGAAACCACGTAAAAATCCCTGTGTTCATCTTTGTTCTTAAATTTTCTTTACGCTGTAATTCACCTCTGCTTTGCAGAGCAGTTCGTGTTTTTGCAGACTTACAGAAGAACAGGAAGAACAAGATACAGGAGGAAGAAGAACTAATTCGAACGTCATCGTTTTACCAAGGAATCTTCGACAGGCCAAATATAAAAGACTGATTGGGCTTTTAGCCCAATAACCATTTCAACCTTCTTATTTCCCTTTCCTTCAGATCAAATTAAGAATCGATTCTCATTCTAATCGACTGCTGCTCTTTCGATTCACCAAATTCTAGGGCTCTTGTAGGAGAAACTCGAAAAGGCACCAGCAGCCTCGCGCTCGTCTGCACCAACAAGTGGTATCAGAGCCCGGCTCCGGCGAACTAGGCTTAGCAACCTCCGGAGAGATGGGGTCAAGTGCAAACACAGGAGGAATATTCATGGCTGATGGCTTTTCTCAAACAAGACCGCCACGGTTCGAAGGAGTGCACTACGGATACTGGAGGAATCGGATGGAGTTATTCATCGGTTCAACTGATCCTGATCTTTGGAACATCGTGCTAGATGGTCCTCTTGAAGTCAAAGAAGCTCGAGGGAAATGGACCGAAGAAGATAAAAGAAATTTCCAGTTGAACTCGAAGGCCACGAACTTGATGTACTGCGCCTTAGGGCCTGAGGAATACCATCGAGTCTCAGGATGCAAAACAGCGAAAGAAATCTGGGACAAACTCCAGATTGCTCACGAAGGTACCTCCCACGTCAAGATCTCTAGGATAAATGTCCTAAAGCAAGAATTCGAAGCTTTCGTAATGAAGCCTGATGAGACCATTAAGGAGATGCACGATAGGTTCACAACTATCGTCAACAGCCTGAGAAACCTGGAGGTCGAGTACACCAGTGCCGATCTAGTTCGAAAGGTGCTCTGGGCGTTGCCAAAGAAGTGGACACCCAAGGTTACAGCGATAGAGGAATCAAAGGACTTAACGAAGTTAAGTTTGGATGAACTAATGGGGTCACTAGTCACACACGAAGACAAACTGAGACGAGAAGAAAACGAGGACTCAAGAAAGGAAAGACGAAGCATCGCATTCAAGGTTACTGAACCAGAAGAAGAATTTGACAAATTAGAAGACATGGAAGACGATGAATTGGCCTTGCTGAGCAAGCATGTGGCCAAGTTGCTCAGATTAAGAAAGGAAAGAAGAAGAGGCTTGAGTGGTCGTGCTAAGGATGCTGATTCCGATAAAGATCAAGCCAGGCATCCCAGACAAAACTCAAGGTTCAGAAGAGAATCAGTTGAGAAGACTGCTCCTCAAGCAGGATGTTTCAAATGCGGACGAAGTGGGCACATCAAAGCAGAATGCCCACAGATAAAACGAGAAAATGCCTATGCTGCCACCTGGAGCTGCAGTGAAGATGAAGAAGAAGAAGGTGATGCTGGACGACGGCAAGAAGCTTACATGGCCATTGGGGAAAGCGACGATGAATGCAATTCATCTCAGGTAAGGACACTGAACTATTACTCAGATACTGGTAGTGAAAATGATCAGTTGAATGACACTATAAGGGATATCCAGTTAGAAGTCAAAACTGTGAAAATTAAGTATTCAACACTTAAATCAGATTTTGAACAACTAACTAAACAGTATGCCAGATTAGAGGAAGAAAAATCAGAATTAGAGAGACGCATGATTGAAGTGCTAAAAAGAAATGTGGAACTTGAAAACAAGGCATCAGAACTTGCAAAAACTGCAAAAAGCACACAGAACTATAGGTGTTGGTACAAAAGAAACAATCAGGGCTCAAGACAAGTTGAGTGCTTTTACTGTCATTTAAATGGACATTACATTGCAAATTGCAAAAAGAGAATTGCTAGAGAAGAAAGGCTGAAATCGACAGTTTGCTTTAACTGTAATGAAACTGGACATATAAGTCATGAATGTCATAATCCAAAACATAGAGTAATTGGCTCTAAGTTGGTCTGGCTACCTAAAACAAAGTAATAATATTCATGTGATTAGGTCTGCTTCCAAGTGAGCATGGAAGACAGCGAGTGGATCCTGGATAGTGGATGCTCACATCATATGACTGGAAATGAAAAACTTTTCACAAAACTGGTTAAAGGAAAGAAAGGTAAAGTATATTTTGGTGATAACTTCTGCACTGATGTTCTGGGTAAAGGGGAAGTTGGTATTTCACCTAAAATTAATAATGTGATGTTGGTTGATGGACTGAAGCATAACCTGTTTTCAATAAGTCAAATCTGTGGAGAATCAAATAGAGTAATATTTGAACCAACTACCTGCTATGTAGAAAATATTGAAAGTGGAAAAATACTGTTTTCTGGTAAGAGGAGAGGAAAACTGTTTTGTATAAACCTAAGTGATAAAAATATGTTCAATGAAATGTGTTTAGTCTCTGTCGACAAAAATGATCAGTTGGAGTGGCATAGGAGACTTGGACATGTCAGTGTTGGGACTCTGTCAAAACTTGTAAGTCTTAATTTAGTAACAGGAATACCTAGGGTTAACTGCAAGAAGGAGTTTTTCTGTGAAGCCTGCACTAAAGGAAAACAAGTAAAGTCATCCTTTAAAACCAAACCAGTTATCTCAACTTCAAAACCCTTGGAACTTCTGCATCTGGATCTCTTTGGTCCAAGCAACATCCTGAGTTTAGGGGGGAAGTCATATGCATTTGTAATTGTTGATGACTTCTCAAGATATTCTTGGGTACTGTTTTTGGGAAGTAAAGATGAAGCTTATAAAAATTTTAAAAATTTGGTCAGGCGTTTAGAAAATGAGAAGGAAACAAAGGTTATTAACATTAGAAGTGACCATGGGGGGGAGTTTATATCTGAAAAGTTTGATAGATTTTGTAATAAAGCTGGGATAGCTCATAATTTCTCTGCACCTAGGACTCCTCAGCAAAATGGCGTGGTAGAGAGGAAGAATAGGACTCTGATAGAGATTGCCAGAACAATGATAAATGAATATAGCTTGCCTAAGTTTTTCTGGGCAGAGGCTGTTAACACAGCCTGTTATATAATTAATCGTGCTCTAATCAGGTCCAAATTAAACAAGACACCTTATGAGCTGTGGAAAAACAGGAAGCCAAACTTAGGATACTTCCATCCATTTGGGTGCAAGTGTTTTGTGCTTAACACTAAAGACAATCTAGGAAAATTCGACTCTAGGTCTGATGAGGCAACATTTCTGGGCTACTCGAGTCATAGTAGAGCTTACAGGGTATATAACAAACGGACTCTCAAAGTTGAAGAGTCCATACATGTTGTGTTTGATGAATCTACTAGTAAGTATGCAGATATTTTCGATGAGGATGATGATTTAGGACTGGGACATCACTCCAGAATGAATCAAGAAGCAATCTCTGAAAGAGACAATACTACTGAAGCAGTACAAGATAGCATTCTGGAAAGAGACACTGAGGAAATAGCTATTCAAGCTCCACCTCACATACAGAAGAGGCATCCACCCTCTCTGATCATTGGGGATTTAAACAAAGGTATGACCACTCGATCTCAGAACAATAATGTGCACACTGCCTTTGTTTCTCTGACTGAACCTAGAAATATACAAGAAGCACTAGATGATGAGTTTTGGACAGGGTCCATGCAGGATGAACTAGGTTATTTTGAGAGGTTAAATGTTTGGAACTTGGTACCTAAACCAGAAAACAAACCAATAATTGGAACCAAATGGGTCTGGAGAAATAAAACTGATGAACTGGGAATGGTTGCAAAAAACAAATCTAGACTTGTAGCTCAAGGATACAGTCAAGAAGAAGGTATAGACTTTGATGAATCGTTTGCCCCAGTAGCTAGATTGGAAGCCATTAGATTACTATGTGCTTTTGCTGCTTCTAAGGGCTTTAAACTATTTCAAATGGATGTTAAGAGTGCTTTTCTAAATGGTGAGTTGAAAGAGGAGGTGTATGTTGCTCAACCTCCTGGTTTTGAAAATCACAAGTACCCAGATCATGTATATAAATTGAACAAGGCTTTATATGGATTAAAACAAGCTCCTAGAGCTTGGTATGAAAAGTTAAGTAATTTTCTGATCAGTGATGGTTTTCACAGAGGATCAGTGGATAAAACTCTTTTCATAAAATCTGTTAAAAGTCATACAATATTGGTTCAAGTTTATGTCGATGATATCATATTTGGTTCATCAAGCTCAAGCTTATGTAAAGAATTCGAAGAAACCATGAAAGGGGCATTTGAGATGAGCCTTATGGGAGAGTTAAAACACTTTTTAGGGCTGGAAGTTAAACAAAATAACAAGGGGACATTCATTAGTCAGTCAAAATATCTATCCAATATGCTCACCAGATTTGACTTAACTAATCTTAAGTCAGCACAAACCCCAATGGGATCAACTTCAAAATTATCCAAAGATGAAAGTGGGGTTTCAGTCGATGTTAGACTATATCGAGGAATGATAGGTTCCTTGTTATACCTAACTGCCAGCCGACCTGACATTGTGTATAGTGTAGGAGTCTGTGCTCGTTTTCAAAGCTGTCCTAAAATGAGTCATCTATCTGGCTCTAAGCTGTTGGGATTATGGTACTCTAGGGACTCTAGTCTAGAACTTCTCAGCTATAGTGATTCTGACTATGCTGGCTGTGTTCTTGATCGAAAGAGCACCTCAGGCACATGTCATTTCCTTGGTACCTCTATGATTTCCTGGGCTAGTAAAAAGCAGAGTTCAGTAGCTTTGTCAACTGCTGAAGCAGAATACATAGCAGCTGGACTTAGCTGTACTCAACTGCTCTGGTTAAAATACCAACTTCAGGACTATGGTTTAGAAATAGGATCTCCCTCCATTTTGTGTGATAATACTAGTGCTATAAATATGACCAAAAACCCCATTCAGCACTCTCGTACAAAACATATTGAGGTTCGATACCATTTCATTCGAGACCTAGTTCAAGATGGAAAGATTAAACTTGAATTTGTAAGCACAGACATGCAATGGGCAGATATTTTCACTAAACCTTTAGGAATAGAAAGATTTCTGTCTATAAGAAATGAACTTGGCTTATTTGTTCTCGATGAAATCCCTTCCTCTTGATTTCCGGATATCCTAAATCAAAAGATTATCTTTCCATCTCTTGGAATTCTTACTCCTCTAACTCTGATACACCTTCCTTTTTCTTAACCCTCCTCTAGTTTATAAGCATAGGGTTCCTCTGCAAAACCAACGCAGTCTTTCAAACTTCCGAAAACATTTTCCTCTTCTTCCTCAAAAATGGCTCCCACAAACGCCCAGTTGCAACACTCTGCTGTGTTCAACAACAAAGGATTCTGCAATGCTGCTGTTTATGCACGATATCTGAGACGATTTCGTGATCGTCCAATCTTTCCCTCTCTGTCAATCCATCCCTCTGGATTCTCGAAGTATGACATGAATATTCCTGCTCTTATTCATGGTCTGGGGTGGGAGTCTTTGGTGGAAAATATGAGGTTCAGTTATTGTCCAGAAGCCGTGAGATTGTTCTATGTGAATATACAGCGCGGTCCTGGAACTGTCCCTAAGTTTTTCACAACCATGGTGTTCAATTTCGAAATCAAGGTGACTCCTGAGCTACTGGCAACAGCTCTTGATGTCCCTCACGTTGGTCTCCAAGCTGGCACAGACAGCGAGTTTGGAGATCTGGGATTCGATCTGGTGCATGCACTGAAATCCGTCACTCGTGACATCGGTCAGTACTTTCCCTCTCGTCTGGCTGCTGGTCGTCTACCAGATGATCTTAAGGTCTTACACTTCTTTATTACCAGAAGCTTTCTACCTCGAGATCTTTCGAGTACTGATATTCTCAATACTTCTGACCTTTGGATTCTCTCTCATGCTCGAGCTGGCACTAAACTCAGCTATGCAACACTCATGTTTCATCATATGATTCGCTTTGGGACTGAATACTTTGGGGGTTCCCTGCCTTTTGGACCCCAGATCACTCGCCTTCTGCGCTACCTTAATATTGATATGCATGACAAGCTGCATCAATGCAATGTTCTGGACGATCTTCGTCCACAGCATGTGCTGGCTAAGCTTGATGCACTCGTTGGGCCCCGAAAGCCTATCACTGGCTCAGGGGGAGTCAACACTGGTCCTGCACAGTATGCCATCACTGGTCCTGCTCAGTATGCGTCTGGGAGACTAGCTGGAGCACTAGTTGACGCTGCTGTAACTGTAATCAAACGAGAATATTCTGGTGAGGAAGAGCAGTCTGCCAAACTGAAACAACTTAGAAAAGAAGATCTGATGTGGCCTAAGTTTGTTTACGAGTCTGGATCAATAAACGATCCTATAAGTTCTGACTCTGAGTCAGATGAGTCTAAGGATGATGAGGAGGTGTCTGAGTATGAGTCCCCACCTAAGTATCCTTTCTAGAATATGTTTAAGGGGAACAGTTGATGTCTTGTGGGAAGGTCTGTAATTTTCTTTGGCAATTCAGATGAATAAAAGCTTGAAGGTTATGATCGCTCTGTAAATTACTCATCATTATATTATTCCTTTTGGAGCAGACTGCACTTGGTGTTTGTTACATGTGTGCAGGGAGTAACCAGTAAAGGATTCGAGCCAGCGACAAGCTTAGGGGGAGTTTGTTGGAGGAAGCTGTGTCTGCTGGCATCGATAAAATGGGAAGGTTGACTGAAGGACACAGAGCAAGAACCAAAAGAAGAAAGCAGTAATGAGGCGGGAAATCAGGCAAGAGACTGATCCTATAGGATCTGAAGGCAACGGTTGAAAAAGAAGATTATATAGGAACCAAGTCTGATTAGTGATAGATACCTTTCGAAAAGCAAAACTTTCAAATAGCAGGAACAGGGGTTTGGCTGTGTGAAATTGAAAGAAACGAGAGGTGGCTATCTGGGAGATAGGGTTAGTCAAGGGCAATTGGAATTCCGGCGGGGAGCTGAATTCCGATTGGAAGTTCTGATAAAGTAACAGGGAGTTACTCAGAGATCGATTGTAATCTGTAATCCGAAACACAATATCTTAGTAACGTCAAAGGACTCAAAACAGAGTGCCTTTGACCGTGGACTAGTCGATACTGATTTATCAGTATCGGAAACCACGTAAAAATCCCTGTGTTCATCTTTGTTCTTAAATTTTCTTTACGCTGTAATTCACCTCTGCTTTGCAGAGCAGTTCGTGTTTTTGCAGACTTACAGAAGAACAGGAAGAACAAGATACAGGAGGAAGAAGAACTAATTCGAACGTCATCGTTTTACCAAGGAATCTTCGACAGGCCAAATATAAAAGACTGATTGGGCTTTTAGCCCAATAACCATTTCAACCTTCTTATTTCCCTTTCCTTCAGATCAAATTAAGAATCGATTCTCATTCTAATCGACTGCTGCTCTTTCGATTCACCAAATTCTAGGGCTCTTGTAGGAGAAACTCGAAAAGGCACCAGCAGCCTCGCGCTCGTCTGCACCAACAAAGGAGAGTCAATAGGAAAGAGAAAGAAAGAAAAAGAATGGTGGGTGTGGGTCTCGGAGAGGAGGAAGGGAAAAAGAAAAGGTTAAAATTGTAAGGGACCACCAAAAAATGAGTCAATTGAGATTTCCTACCCCTCTACCAGGTAATTTGAATTGCACCCTAACGAACCAATTGTAATTGCCCCATACAAAAATGCCTCATTTTACTTTTGGGTTGCCAAACGAGACAATTTGGTCCAAATGTCTCATTTTGAGTCAATTGGATCAAACTGCCTCATACAAAAGATCCATCCAAACGACCCCGTCCGTCTAGGGATATTCGATAGGATTGTCCATTGTCATGTATTTGTTCACTTTCTTCATTGACAACTGAGCTAAACCATTAAGGACGTAGGCAATAGCGAAGCTTGGAAGCCGATCATTCTAGATTGAGGAGGCACTCCACTTTCTCACATCTTTTTTATTGACAATTTGATTTTATTTGTTGAGCCATCAGTGCCCAAGTCGCAGTAGTTCAAGATTAACTAGATTGATTCTGTGAGGCCTGGGCCAGTTGACTAGCCGAGAAAAGTGTATGATTTCCTTATCCAATAACACAAGTCGTACTTGATGCAGGAGGTTAGTGCAACCTTTAGCATCCTGATGTGATGACTCGGGTCCTTGGAAAATACCTAGGGCGTCTGTGGTGCATGGGTAGTAACGAAGTCTCACTTTTTCAATTTTGTATGCTATATATCCCTTCAAATATTGTGCATACAATAGTGATTTTGGTGTTTGTGTGTGATGACAATGACAAGAAGATATGCTCCTTTGTCTGAGGCACAGAGGACGATTAGTGCAAGATGACCTTAGTGGCTTGAGAGGATGTCAACAAGCCTAATGCGAATTAATTGAGACAAGGCGTTTCATCTTATGGTGAGGCATTAGAGGGGCATGGCATGCACTATTGGAGAGATTGCATGGAGTGTTCGAGATGGTCGATATACTAGCTTCTATATGGATCGACAGTACGTGGAGTTCGATTGGAAGAATGGGTGACGTAGGAGCTCCCTGCACACTTCCAAGACAAACATGTTGTAGCTTTTGTGATCAACAATGGTGAGCGACACTGCATGTCCTGTCTCGGTTTTTACCTAACGATTTCTGTATGCAGGTTATGAGATGCCAATGCCAAATGAGAAGCTTGGAGAGGATGGTCTAGCATGGGGACTCAGGCTCAATGTATGCTTTTTGTTACGAACATATTATGGAATCATGGTGGAGCAAGAGGGAGCAGCAGAACCAAACTATTTTTGGTCTTCCCCGAGCAATCCAAGACCCCTCGATTTCCAAGGATCGACGGGAAATAATCAACCAAGGCATCCTTTCATTCAACAAAGGCCAAAATTTCAAGACTCAAACTTCCAACAACCATTCCAAGCGCAAGGTGGTCAAGGGTTCCAACAACAACAACCCGATAAGTGCAAAACCTGAGACCTAGTTACCACCTTTGTGAGTACAAGCGCTCAGAATTTTGAGAAGATTGAGCAATTCATGGATGTGGCAACTAACAAGTTTTCCTCGATTGAGGCGGGTCTAAGAATTTATTAAGCGAGTCTTCAAAATTTGGAGAACCAAATCGGCAATCTTGCCGGGATCCTCACCGAAAGATCGAGGTGAGCTCTACCTTCCCAAGCTATTGCCAACCCCAAAGATTAAAACGTTGGGTTGAATGCTATTAATTTGAGAAGTGGGAAGGTAAATCTAGAAGTGGTTTCTAAGGAGGTAATTGAGGAGAAGGAAGCCCCTCCAACGGTCGTTGAACAAGAAGTCTCGGAATGAGAGGATGGAGAGAATAGGAAGGCACCGCCGACGCCACCACTAGTGGGTGAGTACAAGCCTCATTCGTCTTTCCCTATGAGGGTGCACAAGGACCGATTGGAGGCGGTGTGTGGAAAGGTAATGCAGATGCTCAATAAGGTCCACATTACCATGCCTTTCTTGGCGGCAATGGCGCACATGCTAAGGTATGCCAAGTACCTAAAGGGGCTTCTTGCGAAGAAGAAAAAGTTTGAAGACCTCACCACCATCACCTTAGGCGACAAGTGCACGGCCTTTATTCAAAACAATTTTCCTAAAAAGCAATACGATCCAGGTAGTTTCACTATCCCTCTTTGCATCAGAGCATGCCATATAAAAAATTTCTTCGCGGATTTAGGTGCGAGCATTAACGTCATGCCATTTAAACTTTACAAGAAATTGAACCTAGGTGAATTGAAACCCACTAGGTTAAGTGTGACATTGGCTAACCGCTCGGTGATTAGTCCTAGGGGTATTGTGGAAGTTGTTCTAGTAAGGGTGGGCACATTTTACTATCCAACGGATTTCATCATCCTTGACATTAGTTAAGATGCGGATATGCCCCTCATACTAGGACGTCCTTTCCTTGCCACCGCCAAGGCTTTAATTGATGTTAATGAGGGAACTTTAATCTCGGGAGATGGAGAGGAGGAATTACCTTTTCGATTGAACCTAAGAGTACAAAGATGATGTTAAGGAAGTGGGATCGAATGGTATGTTTGGTGTAAGAAGTCTGTGTAACATTTTATAATGTATCGTTTATTAACGTAATTACATTAACTGTCCTGGTAGGGTTATGCGGCTCAGTATATATATTGATAGCCTCTTATGATGTAAGGTTAAGGATTCTAAGTGCTAATACGATTGACTCTGAGAGGTCGGCCCTCTTCGTGGATTAGTCTCAATGACACTCGTTGAGGATACCACGTAAATCTGGTGTTGTTCTTGCTTTCAGATTATTGTTTATCATGGTATCGGAGCCTTGGGATTGATCTCGTGGGTTTCAGAGTTTGTTTTTTTTATCGCCGTTGCTTTCTGCTTTGGGGTGCCGCCTTCTCATTTCTCAGCTTCTGGTCTGCCCTCGCTGATTATCTTTTTCGGTCAGTGGTTTCCTTATTCTCGGAGGTTAATTATTCGCCTCATCTCCGTGGAATTTTTTGTGGCTTCCGGCTGCTTTATTTTATCTCTCTCAACGATTAATTTTTCTGGCCGTCTCAATGGGATTCCTGGTAGCTTCCTGGTGATTGTTTTCCTGGTCTTCTCGGTGGGGTTCTGTTGGTTTTGGGTTTATTTAGGCTTCATCAAGTTGGGTTCCGCTAACTTGGGCTTTTCTTCTGGTTAGTGCGGCTTCTACAGTGTATTCGTGAACCTTCTGCTTTAGCTGTCTGGTTCTTGCGGTAGTATTTCTTATTGATTTCTTGCTTATGTTGTCCTCTCGGCGCTTTATCATGGATGCTTCAAAAATCGATGCAATTTCTGTCAGATTCAATGTGCAGAACTTTTCTCTATGGAAATTTCAGTTTAGTGTTTTTCGTTCAAGGTCGTCGTTTGCTCCCTATTCTTGATGGTACGCTCCCCGAGCCTGCGACCACGACAGCGGCAAAGGAGAAGGATGATTGTGCCATCTCCAAGGCTCAAGTCATCACGTGGATACTTGGGTCAGTTGAGCCTGCCATTGCACTTAGTTTGCGGGGTTTCCCACGACTGACACCATGTGGAAGCACCTCTGCGAGCTCCACTCTCAAACCACAGCCTCTCGGAAATTTGAACTGGAGCTTAATATGGCTAAGCTACATAAAAGGGGAGATGGATATTCGAGCTTATTATAAGGCCGCTGTGACAATGTGGACGGAGCATGATATGCTGACTTCCTCATTGGTTTCTTCTGCGGCATCTATTGAGGTCATGCGTGAGCATTCGAGTTCCCGACATATGCATTTTTTGATGAAGATGCGAGGCGAGTTTAAAAGCATTCGCGCATCACTTCTGCATTGTAATGTCACAAAAATGGAGGGTGTCTTGGGGGAGCTCATTCGGGAAGAAAATCGTTTACGGAGTCAAGCTAAGCTCGATATTCATCTTGTGGATGCTCCTCCTACAACGTTTGCGGCTGGCAAGCCTTCCTCAGGTACTTCCTTGCCTTCTAATGGTACTGCATTTGGTGTTGGTTCTGAGAGACCTCGCTTTCAGCGTACGGCTGGCGGGGATTGGGGAAGTTATTTGCTATTATTGTAAGGAACTTGTCCATGTTCAGCTTCATTGTCCAAAGAGAAATGCCTGCAATTACTGCAAGGCTTCACGTCATAAAATTGGGGCTTGTCCTATTCTAGCTAAACGGGGATGCCCTCGGCCCTCATCCGGTTCTAGCTCACGTGGTCCCCCGGCTACCCCTCGTCCCTCATCTAGTTCGGCTTATGTTGCGGCTCCAGTTAGTTCTCTCACTCTTGACACCATTCGTCAAATGTTGCAAGAAATTGTTTGGGATGCACCACCTTCTACGTTAGGCTCGGTCTTCACTGCTAACGTTTAATCATATGACGAGTTCTCGGTCTTCTTTTCGGCACCTTCAGTCTGCGAACTCTATTCAATTTACTATTTGCAGATGGTGCTTGTCTGCCAGCTCAAGGCATTGGAGTTGCTAGTAGTCCCGGTGTCATGCTTCCTGACACCCTTTATGTGCCTCGCTTAGTTCCTGATCTCGTGTATGTTGGTCAGTTAGCAGAAATGGATGTCATATCATGTTTGATGATGTTGGTTACTTCGTGCAGGACCAGATGACGGGGATGTATATAGGAAAAGGAACTATAAAGGGATGGATTTACACGCTAGATAGTTATGCTAGCTCACCGGGTGGTGTGGCATCTATTAGTGTACATGCTAGTCGCATGGGGATGGTGGCAGAATCTCTGACTTCATTAGTTTCTTCAAGTCATGCAGTTGGTTTTTTTGTTTAACGGTCGAATTGGGATTTGTGGCATCGGCATTTGGGTACATCCCCATTCTGCCAGATTGTTAGAGATGTTTAAGAATAAGTTATTGTCTGGTACATTTGTTTAAGATTCAACTAGTACTTGCACACATTGGTTCTAGTACTACTGTTTATTCAGGTCCGTTTGATCTAGTTCATACAGATCTCTGGGGGCCTTCTCCTGTTACATCGTGCATGGGGTTTTCGATATTTTGCATTATTTATCGATCATGCTACCTGTTTTTCTTGGATATACTTTCTTCGTAAAAAATCGGATATTCTGCAGGTTGAGAAGACTATGAAGATCATACGATCTCAACCTGGTGGCGAATTTTGGCCTGGTCCACTACAGGAAGTATTTATGAAACACGACATTCT